GTTGTACAAGAAGGAGAGGGAAGTGTACGTGACTGAGCTGGGAAAAATAGATGGAACGTACAGGGAGATGTTTGAGGCATGGAATAGAGAGGAAAGGACGGTAGCTGTACTGGGGCATAGGAGGTGGGTTGAAAAGGCGGGAAGGGATATCGTTAGGATAGACAGACTAGGGAAGACATTTTTGAGCCACCTTTGGCAAAGTAGAAAGGAACGATTGGCCATCGGTGATCGGTCCTGTGGGAACAATGCTCCGTCCTCTCGAGGACGCGTGGTCAATGGTCTAACCGCTAAGACATGCAAAACATAAAGAGTACGCCCCCCCCCCCTCTTATGCATCTATGAATACAAGTCTTGAACTCAATCTCAATCTCAATCCCGAACCAAACCAACCCACCTTGACGTGCCCCCTCCAAAACTCCTCCTTCCGAGCCTCCGCCTGCCCGGCGGACAGCAGGGCGCCGGGCGGCGGCGGCTTCTCGAGGGCGCCGGTCAGTGCCGCTCGCCGCAGGGCCAGCAGCGCCTCCTCCATGGCACCCCCCCCCTCTCCCCCTCCCGTCGTAGCGGGCCCCCCTTTTGCTGCTGACAACGACGCCGCCGTTGGTGTTGGTGTTGTTGCCGGGGTAGTTAGGCCGTTTGAAGCGGGCGCTGAGGGAGGAATGGCGGCTCCTTCCCCGGAGAGTGCGGCCACGACCTCACGCGATCTACCGGAGGGGGGAGGGGGGGGNGGGGGGGGGGGGGGGGGGGGGGGGGGGGGGGGGGGGGGGGGGGGGGAGGGCGTGCAACCCAAATACAACGAGTTATTATATGTTTGTGGGTGTGCGATCGTATGAGACAGTTGACCTCTCCTGAATTGGGGGTATACGGAAAGTGGTATCACGCTAGCTCGTCTTGAGACCAAAAAACAAAATAACTGGCGGGAGCGTCGCACGAAAAACAAGCGGAATCATCGTCCAGAAACCACAAGCGACCAGGCAAAAACAGCAAGTACATGGCCAAGGCTCGTCACACAGACGGAGCACCAGCAGGTCTCACGCCATGAGTGGCAACCTATGACGTCGTCAAAGCTCCCTCCTTGCCGTCATTAGAGTCACAACCCACCCACTGCACGCACTGCTGTGCATGAGCGGCAACCTAATCACGTCATCAAAGCTCCCCCCGCCCTCTTTACCCACCTGGCAACGGCCGAGTAAACCTTGGCTTGCGGCTCGGTCATCGCGCACCGAACCACGTACTCCTTCACAACCACCCGGGCCCTCCCTCCTCCTCCTCCTCCCCCCGCCGCCCCCCCAACCGACGCGCACAGCAACCTGCCGGCGAGCCCCGGCCGGACAAGCCTCACCGCCGACACTATACCCGCGAGCTCCGCGCAGACGCCCCTGCCACCGGGGCCCCGTGCGGCGGCCATGCTCCCCCCCGTTGCCGCCGCCGCTGCCGACGAAGACAGGGCGCTTCCGCCACCGCCGGCCCCGCCGGCCCCGCCGGCCCCGCCGGCGCCGCCACTGGTGGCGGTGCTTGTCGCCCGCGCTTTGCCGAGGGACAGAGCGGCGCGAGGCCCCGGCACCGCGGACGCTAGCGCGAACGACACGAGACCGGCGAGGCGGTTCTCTTCCCGCACTACGGCGGAGGCGGCGGCGGCGGCGGCGGTGGCGGCGGTGGTGTTACCGGCATCGTCCAGCGCTAGCGCCAGGGCCGCCCCCTTCGCAAGCGAGGAGAACAGGGGCCAGTTGACGGTAAAACGGCAGCCGGCCTTGCCGCCACCAGCGCCGCCGCCGCCGCCGCCGCCGCCGGTACTCGATGTCGACGCTGCGGCCGTGGCGGCGGGACTAGAAGGGGTAGCGGGAGCGGCGGCCGTTGATACCCCCCGGACGTCCAGAACCACCTTCGCCACAACATGCGGGGGGGAACGACCCGGACCCGGCCAGGGAAGGCGAGGGGGGGAGGGGGGTCCGTGAGATGCAAAGGGGGGGCTGTTGTGCTCAAAGGGGATAGTCTCCTTTTCCCTAGTTCCCTTCACGATTTCAGCCACACACTCTGCTTCGTCACCTGCTGTACAGCCGTCGCCCCGAGCCATCCGCGACACCACGACAGCAGTGCATTTATTCACCAGTTGCTTGGTTCTCTGATGACAACCTGGGCGCTATGTACAGGTATCGAACTTGGCGAGTTCCGGGGACCGATCCCACAACTGCCTCCAACACCGCTGACAACGAAACAAAACGGCACCTTGAGGCCCAAAGAGGAGGGTAGGCAAAACAATACCTGGCTCCAACCGACACCCGTGTTACTCCCTACCTGGCTCCACCGCACCGAACGCGCAAGACGCGCGTCCGCGGAGACCCCTCCGTCCACCTCCGCCAGGCGCTCGAGGGAGCAAAGAACCACGTCCACCGAGGAACGCCTCGCCGTAGGTGGCAACCGTGCCTTACCGCTAACGCTACCGCCGGCGGCGGTGGCCTGCGGCGACAGCTTCTGCTGCAAGGAGGAAGGCGGCGACGAGGATGCTGACCGATGACGGTGATGGTGATGGTGTTCCTGGCTCCTCCATTCCTCCCACACCTAGGGGGGGGAAGTGGATAGCGCGCTCAAGGTTTGCATGCCTCAGCTGCTAGGCCGTATGTCCTCGAGAGGACGGAGCGTTGTTCCCACAGTGTCCTTCGAACCGATGGCCAACCGTTCCTTCCTACTTTGACAAAGGTTGTTCAAAAATATTGTCCTTATCCTGTCTAATTGATGGGGGATGGAGTCTGCGAAACCTACCAAGGGATCCTGGAATGTTCTTTCCACAAAAAAAAAAATACAAAAAAACACAGAAACATTGAATCGGCACCCCTCTTCAATACATACGCAATGTTTACCGTTGAACACTGTAAACAGCACAATAAGGCATAGCAACTCCAACGAAAACAACAAGTGAAGCATTGAGGCAGTTATCCGTTCTTCAGCCATAAATAAAAATATAGAAGACAAAAAAAACGGAAACAATGCCCCTGTATAAATGCCTATCAATTCCTGTGAACACCGTCCAACAACAACAACATCAACAACAACCGCGAGCGAAGGCAGCACGCCGCTCACCTTGATGACCAGGCGCGGACAAGCCTGCGCCAGCTCCATGTGCCACCTCGCCATCGCCCACGAGGGCACCACGACCAGCTGCGGGGGCGGCGCGAGGCTTCCCGGCCGGGGACGCATCGCAAGCGCCCCCCGTCCCGGCCGCGACGCCTTCGTGGAAGTTCTGCCGCCTTTGGTAGCCGCACCCTGCGATTTCGAACCGGCACCCCCGGCAGAGGATGCTCCCGATGCAGCCCCGGATTCCTGAAAAGGCGTTTTTTGGAGGGGAGGGGGAGTGTCCCAGGAAGGGGGTATGGAGGGGAAGGTGTGTGAGCCCGGGAAGAACGGCGGGTGCGGAAGTAGAAGAAGTTTCTAAAGCTGTCAGACAGCTCAATCTCCTACAACCAGCTTTCAACCCTCCCCAACACAACACAAATGAAACAACAGCAGCAAGAACAGCAGCAGCAGCAGCAGCAGCAGCAGCAGTAGCAGCAGCAGCAGCAGCAACAACAAAAACAGCAACAGCAACATCGACACCAACGGCGACAGCAACACTAGCAACAACTACTACAACATTAACACCAACGACAACAACTGCTGCAGAAACAACCGCAAGGCACCAATCAATCACACCTCAGCCTCCCCCTTGACCAAGTGCTCGGATAGGCGCTTCTCCTCCTGCACCAGGAAGATGTCGGTGCGCTCAGTCTCGACGACCGACCGGCAAGCCGCCACCATCGCCACAGTCGCCGCCGCAGTCACCGTCTATCACGCGAATCACGATCAAAACAACAGTATGTTTTGTGAAGGGGGGGGACATGCACTAAAAAACCCGATTGTATTTTTCTATTCTTGGTTTTGGAGCATACCGTACACCTCTTCCAGCCAAGGGAGCCAAGAGCGGGTGCGGTTGTTTCAAGGTCAGACCTGCGCCATCGCCATGATCGCCGCCGCAGTCTCCGTCTGTCACGTTCCAATAACTCTCTGGTAGAGAACATAAATGTGTGAGACAGCTTAACATGAACAAATTCAAGCTTTGAACTTAAAAACAATTTAGTACAAAACCCGAAAGAAGACAAACGCCCACGCGGGACTCGTTTATCTTGTCAAAGAGATGATGACTTCGGAGTACAATTGTAAGAAAATAAAAGGGAGCAAAAAACAATAAACCTGTACAAGCGAAAATACCTTCCCTGTCCCGCGGTCGTCACACAAAACTCCCCCCAGACCACGCCCAGCCAGAGCCCTGATCCAGGAGAGAGCCTTCTCCTGGTGGGGTAGCAGGTGAACGGCCATTCCCCACGAGTCTGGTGCTCTGCTAAGATTGCGGGAGGAGAACTCGTTGTACCCAGCCGCCCCTGCGTGGGTCACATCATTGAGAGATCGAACAAATCCAGGGAGTGATTAACGTCGCTGGGATGGAGGCAAATACACAGGTAGCGACGAACAATCCAGGAGGTCGTAAAAGTCGGTGGGATTGAGGTACATATGCACACCACACATCAGATTGGTAGCGAAAAGGAAAAAAAGGGAAAATATCGATAAATCTGAACGCAATTTGCAGAAAGTGGAGATGGGTCGTTCGAATATGGAGAAAACTGGAACGCAAGTCAAGTTCAAGCACTAGGGTGCTAATCGGCACGATCACACTTCCCAAACCAGGATAAATACATATTCAACGGGTGCTCTTTCGGTGTGTTTATGTTTCCTTGTAAAATCAGTGGATTGCTTTAACCAGGAATACTGATGGAACTCATCGACACCCTCACCATTGATGCCAGTCCCATCCAAGGCGTCCAAGCCTTCCATCTTCACAGGGGACGCCTTGCCCGCGTCCCCTGCTAGCGCCGCCTCCACTAGCGCTTTCGCCCTCGTCGTCAACTGCTCCACCTGATTGGGCGTCGCGCGTGGCATGCCTTCGTCAGACCGATGACCACGGAATTACTACATACGTCATCATGGGCTGCCTATCTTTCTCTTGTGAGTTCTCTATGTCTGACCGTCTTGTCAAAAAACTCTGGCGGTCCTCTAACCTGCCTGTCTGTCTGTCTGTTCGTCCGTCCGTCAGTCTTGTTGTCCGTCTGTCAGCCTTACCGTACATGACACAAGATAACACACCCCCTGGACCGATTTTTTTCAAATATCGATTTCTCAACAACAGAAAGAGTCACGGCGCCGAAAACGGCGGCGTTGGAACCGCCTCGTCGAGAGCTTTCCAAAAATGTATCATTTCGTTTGTGCATCCTCTTCGTCGTGGAGTAATAATCGAGCTTTGAACATTGGTCCAGGGGGTGTGTTATCTTGTGTCATGTACGGTATGCCTGTCTGTCAGCCTACTAATACCTGTCATCTGCCCGCTCCCTTCCTGTCTCTCTGTCTGTCCTCTGTCCTCTGGCTTGTCTGAAAGCCTTGACCGTCTTGTCGGCCTTACCGCTGTCTCTCCCTCCCACTGACCTCAAACCCGATCCGGCTCAGCTCCGGCATCGTCAGCTCCATCTCCTCCCCGCCTCCAATACCACCAGAAGTCGAAGGACAAGAAGCCAACAGCGGGCCCTTCCCGCCCCCCCCGCCCCCCGGCCCGTTCTGCATGGGTTTCTCCGCCGCAGCGGAGGCGGTGGTAGAGCGGGGAGGCGAGGAGCCGAGGAGGGAGAGGTGCCTGCAGATCGCCACACCGGCGTCGGCGACACGTCCGTCTCGAGCTTGCGGCCGCCCCTGGCGCGGGCGACAAAGACAGAAGAAAAAACAGTGCGGCGGAATTAGATGACGAGGGCGACGTCAGTGGTTCGTGCTTACGGTGCACAAGCGCAAAAAGGGAGGGGACACCAGAAGCGGAAATAATGAAAGTCGGCGGAAGAAGAGCAATGGAGAGGAGGGTGACCGACGCCGACTTTCTAAGAGCGGCGGAATAATTTAAGAGGAGGGTGGCGCGACACGCCCGTGTACACTCTCGCATGAAAGTGCCTCTGGTCGTTCTTGGTTTTCGAAGTTGCGCCCCTGCCTCCCACCTCATGTTTTGAACACAGGCAGAGAGCGTCTTGCTGATGCCTACATACGCCCACCTTCACCCCCGTAAGAAGGACTGCATTCTGCGCAAAGAACGTACATACAACTTTATGACGAAAGGAGACCAGACAGGGGGGTGAGCAGACCCCCAAACCCAATCCCAACTTAGCCGATTCTATACCTCATCCAATATGTTTGCTTTCTAAATAACCTGCGTAGACTACATTTTTCCGTGCTTCCTCCAGCTACATATGTGGCAAGTCCATGTTTCACCTCGCAGAACTCCCTCCGAGCAAGCCGCGTCCGATTCGCCACCCCCCTCAAGAGGTGTCTCGCCAGCTTCCGCTCTTCGTTGTAGTCGGTTGCGATGAGACGCATCTCGTCTAGAAGGAAGTCCCACAGGGTCTTGCGCCTCCGGGGCGGCTGTCAGAATAAAAAAAAAGTTCAAACTTGACGAGAGGGTATTAAACAAATTGCGGGAAAAAAAACGTTGAAACCAAAAAGAGAGATACATAAAAATACAAAGATGCGAAAAAATAAGAATGTGGTGAACACTGACTTGAAAAAAAACACACACAAAGTCAATAGAGCAGGAGAGAGGGGAGTGAGAGAACAAATCTGCCAGACAGGCACAAAGACGAGGGGGCAGGGGGGAGGGGAAATCCATTGCGTGCCTGCCGTACACGCCCGTTCGATGGTGCAGTACCTTCACAGGCGGCAGTATCCGGGGCTTGCGTTCCAACACTAGGCGGAGCCTCGCTCGGACATCCTTGAAGGCCTTTGTCTTCTCCTCCAGCATCTGCGACAGCTGGAACCGTGTCAGACCGCGCTGGTTCTGCGGTTCCGCCGCCTTGACCAGGCGTTGGCGGCGCATCGCGGCCACCTCCCCGGGGGGGATAGGTAGTCCTCCCCCCCCCCGAGAGGCCTGAAGCGGACACGAACAAAAAATCGGGACAGTAAATGCGTCGGGAGACGACATCAGGTGGGGAATTTGGCTGAGGCTCCACATGTGTTCCACGATAACACAGGTGTCGTTAAGGTTAGCTCAATGAGAACATAGTTCTCATGTATGTAGACAAGAGGCGACTTGACAGTGACATGGAGGAGCAACCCAAGCGCCAATTTCGACCCTGTGAGTGTTGTTCAGTGAACAACTCGAGCCAATGCGACCACCAAAAAGTCATCAAGGCGACCACCACGTATCAGTCTGTGGCGTGGCAAACTGCTACTTCGAGGCGTACGAATCGGCTGCCCATCGCTCAAACACAAAAAACGGCGACGGTCAAAACCGTTCACATCTGCAAGGGACCCCTCGGCAGTGGGCTGGTGAAAGCGTAGTCATGGAGGGGGCTCATGAGAGCACGGTGTTCGCCAAATCGTGACGTTTTCCCGAGCTCAACAGTTCACACGGCGGAGGTGTTTCGACCCTCAAGAGCACCGCGAACCTCAACAAATCAAACACAACAAACAATAGCACACATCTGTATACAGCAGTTTTATCGCTCAACTTGTGCAACACTGAGCCACTACTGCGTGTACATGAAGGAAGGCATTCATTGTATGAAGGAGAACACCGATGTACTGCTGCTGTATTACAGCAGGACAGCAGCATACATGTGTAACGGCTGACGTTGAGCATTTCCCCCCACCCACCAGTCAAGCACCCTCGAGGCAGTTACACAGTGCTAACAATTGTCTCAGGAAGTGAAAGCACCAGAAAATAAATTGAGTCATACGCAGCTGTCATCCGTACGCAAGGAAGTAAGCACAAGATGCCGAAATTCCTTGGCAGGATGCAGCGCACCCTTCATGCGACTCGCCGAATATCTCACGGCGCTTCGCGCTTGGTGATGTGAGAGCCTGGTCCGGTGAGAACCCGGCGTGCTCCGTCCCGGCTTTGTAGGGATGCGAGGTCAATGGTCTAACGACTACGGCATGCACGACTATGAGTACACCCCCCCCCACCTCGTTATCCCGGACCCGTCTGACGGCGTGGTAGTGCTGGTACCACTGATCGTTATCCCCGCCCGCCGCTCCGACCGCCCCCCCACCCCCCGCGTTCGATGATGAAGAAGGGTTTGCCGCAGCAGCAGCAGCAGCAGCAGCAGGCGTCGCTCCTGACGGGAGGGGCGCCGCGCTACTCACCGCCCCCTGGGCGGCCCCGCCGCCGCCGCCGGCCGCGTCGCCGCCCAAAGCCCCGGCGGCCGCGCCGCCGCCCCCCTCCACTCCTCCGTTCCGCGTGACGCCACCCTCGCCCTCCACCTTGGCCTCAAAAGCGGCCCCCGTCGCCCCTTCATCCCCGTCTCCCCCGAGCCCCAGCGGACGAAAACGCCTCTTCCTAGGCAGCGGGTACCCGAGGTCTCGTTGGGATGAGGCCACCGCTTCGGCGACGGCGGAGGCGGCGGCTCCGCGGCGGGAGCAGGATGGCGGCGGCGGCGGAGGGGGCGGGCGGGGGTCCGCGCAGACCCTCGCTCCGAGCCAGCGGCCCGCGCAGCCGAGGATCGGCGCGTGCGGGAGAGGGGGGGAGGCTTCCGCCTGCCCGTGGTGTTTTTTTGGTCCGCGTTTTTTGAGTCGGAGATCGTATGCATAGCAACAATGACAACGGCGGACGGCAACGATGAAAAGGCAGAGAAAGTGTTTGAGTCCGCACTTCTAGTCGGTAATCGTAACTGCGGAAGGAACGACAACGAGGCAGTCGTGCTGTAGTCCGTGCGTTGAGTCGGCAACCGTGGAAACGGCAGGAGCCGCGATGAGGCAGAGAGAGTGTTTCCGACCGTGCCTTGAGTCGGGGGTCGTACCAACAACGACACGCGTCGACAATACATCCACAAAATTGTCTTAGAATCAACAAAAAAAAAAAGAAAGCAGCACAGACGTATTATTCAAGTGCAGACAAAAAATAAATAAATAGACGCACACAAAGTCCCGTCGAGATCCGGGAAGGAAGGAGGAGACACGGGCTACTGCTGCCACGGGTATTTCCATAATCAAGGGTACTCGCGGAACGGGATTCAAGACATTTTACTACCCGCTACCCACCCACCCGCCTTCCCCCCAGACTTTTCGAGTTCGATTAGGTTCTGCTTCCCTTGTTGCCATTGGCTGTCTGTACTGAGCTTGGTACTAGTGGTGAAAAAGCCGGCGTCGCCACATATGCATGTGTGGCGCATTCTCCGGCACACACGCGGTAACACGCACCTCTGCTGCCGCTGTCGCTCCCTCCGCTGCGGTGGCGGGCGGTGGCGGCTTTCCGGTCGCGGGGTTGGCTTTCGCCGCTGCCGCTGCCGTCGCCGCCGCCACAGCAGCAGCAGCCGCAGCCGCCGCAGCAGCGTCCTTCGCCGCCTTAGCCTTCAGCTGCTCGTCCGACTGACGGTGAAAGCAAGACGGTGTGTGTTACTGTATGGTCGTCGGTGGTGTTAACGAAGACGGGACGCAGCTTTGCGAGCGTCAGAAAACGGGGCATCGTACCCAACACATGATGCCGTTTTTGTCTGCACGTTAGACCCCTTGCTGCTGTTGACGCGTGGGACGCAGGCGTCCTCTTCCAAAAAAAAAACACAAGCGCCCAACTCTTTGACAACCCAGCGGGTAGGGGTCGTCAGAAAGGCTCGCTTTGTTGTTGCTACTGCTGCCGTTGTGTTGTCTGTTGCTACTGGTCTTCACGATGAACGAACAACGCTCCGATCTCTGCTCTTGTTAATTGTTGCTGCTGTTGGTCTCAACAACGAAAGAACATGTTCCCACCACTGCTCAGCACCTTCCAACATCTGTACCGGTCGACTTGACGGACGCGGACGCCATTGTTCATAAAACACACACAAAATAATGGCGCCACCCTATGCTCTTTGCCCACCTACTGCTATATTTTCAATCATCACTCACCCTGCCCACCTACTACACAACCATCGCGCATCCAGTGGCCGCAAATAAAATTAATTGTTGAGACTTCAACCCTTCACCTTCGACTACTGCTGTGGTCATACACATCTCGAACGGTTATCCTTCTTGATTGCATGTAAAAAAACACAACAATATTTCCCAAAGAGACTTTTCCCAACCCACCTCCGTCTTTTTCGCCGCCTCCGCACGCTTGGCCTCTTCCGCCTGCTGCTGCTGTTGTTGTCGTTGCTGCTGCTGCTGCTGAGCCTTAGCGGCCTGCGCTTGCGCATGCGCCTGGGCCTGCACGCGTGCACACAAAACCAAAACCAAAACAAGGCGTTTCCAGGATTTGAGGGAAGATTGCTCGGTCTGAGAGAGATGGAGTGTTGGGCGCATGTTGAACGGAAAAATTATTCACCACTCAAGTGATATTGAGTTTGTGAGCAGTTTTACATGTCTGAGCTGTTGTTGACCGGTAAAACCATTCACCACTGGTGTGGTATTGTGCGAGTGGTTGTGAGCAGTTTTATCTGTTTAGGGCTCGTGCTTATCGGTAAAAATACGTCACTACAGGTTGTGGTAACAAACACACGTGTGTAGTCCTTGTGTCGCAAGCGGTACAAACATTGTCTGAAATCAACAAGAGCAGCAGCAGCAGCATCAACAACAACAACACCATCACGATCACCACCTCCAATACCAACAAAAACAAGCAAGATCCTAATTCCGGCAAGGGGCAAGGGGATAACAGCC